GCGTTGTTGGTGCAAGTCGACATGAGACTCGTAAGACAAAACGTTTGCGTAACTTTGTTTTTTGAGTGACAGCAAAAAGACAAAATATGTTCATTATTATTTTGTCGTTTCACTGTCGTATGTACAAATACTGTTGATGGTTTATTTAACCTTCCTGAAGTTAAACATGCTGACTACGTAATTGACAATTATAATTAAAATGACGGAGTAAATATTTACAAAAGTGTGCTATTTACTTCGTGTTATAATTAATGTTCCTTTGAGTATCGACTTAGAATCCCTCGTCCCACTTTTATCATCCATCTGCTATGCATGTAGGTACTCTACAGGTTTTCATAAAAAAGATAAACGAAAATTTATTTAACATTAACACAGTTGTATAAGATACCTGAGTCGAATATACCTTACTGTTTGAAGTCGTAATTTACCTTAACGTTTGAAGTCGTATTTTTCGGTCGGTTTGTATGCGAGGTCAATCACTACTATTTATTTTTACAGAGTATTTATCTAAGTTTCATATTTTAGTATAAAAGAATGGCAAATGCATGTAACTTAAAAGCAATTTTAACTTTAAAAAAAAACGAAAGTGGCTATATTTCCAAACCCGTACGTAAATATGAATGATCATATGAATGATCAAATGGCCATATTTACTGTATGGAAAATATTACTCTTTTTATAATTTAATATTATAATTTAACTCGATTTTATGGTTCTATGAATAACAATGGAACACGACATAAAAATAGATCCTTTATTAATGTACTTATGAAAGAGGCCATATTTTTCACCCTATACGTAAGTATGCCCATGGCCAAATTAACTACATAGAACAATTTACTCTCCTATAATTTAAAATGATATAATTATTTATATAGTATTTTTATGGAAAATGAATTAAATCAATACCTAACGAATTAAAATATAGTAACGAACCATGACCTACTACAAATAAAACCAATTTATTAGTCAACACAAATATCTGCGCTAGTTTTTACCAAACATAGCCAAAAACCATCGCTTTCACGTAAATCAAAGTGCACTGAAATCGGATCATCCCTTACTACAGAGCTACCTCAGATTTAAGTAGACAGATACACTACAGCCTCAAACTTATATCATCCCTCCTTAGTTGTTAAAAATAACATTATGCTAGGTTCCAAAAATGAAAAGGTAAATTTAGCCAACATCAGGTGCAGGAAAATATGGCCAGTCATTGGCCATATTATCAGACATATGCCTTTTTTTTTCATTCATTCGCATCTTGAAAACCAAACAAAATTGGAACAAAATCACACGGAAATGTCATCTACTTTCACTACACTAGCAGTAAATGACAAATGAAACACAATAAAATCGATATAAACTAAAATATTAGATAAAACTTACTTAGACAATTTATAGCGGTGATGCGTTCTACGACTTTGACACTTCTGGGTGAAAGGCGGGAGGAGTGGAGTGAGAGTCGCTGTTATGCGAACCCTGTAACCGAACATATACGAGCTTGTTCGATTTTGCACGCATACATTTTTACAGATATTGGTATGTGGCCATATTAGTCGGCTGGCCATATTCTCTATTACCTGCCTCCGTGGCCGAACGGTTACCATACCGGACTGCCACGCTGAGGTCCCAAGTTCGGTTCCCAGCCTGGGAGAATTATTTGTATGGCTTAAATTTATTTCTCTCATGAGTTTGGGTGTAATTTGTGGTTGCCTATGTGTGTGGCCATGGCACCCGCGACACACGGTTTCCCAGTGCGGGTATATGTTGAGTGCATGCGGTATTTTTATTATTATTATTCGACACACGTACCTTATACACATTACAAAAGGTAGCTGTCAACTTTAGGTCTCCCATCCGTGCGTTAATTTTTTGGATATTTTTTTATGATACGAAATGACGGGACGTACAAGTCGTGCGCCTGGTGGTAACTGACACGCCTGTCCATAACTGTTGCAGTGCTACTCAGAGTTTCAAATCACAAAATTCTGTAGGGCACTGACACTGCGCCCAATAACTCAAGACATACATAAGTTGACAAATCCCATATGCCTGTAATTTCAAAACCGAATCGCAGTAATGCGCACGTTACTACTTGGCGGCAGAAATACGTAAGACGGCAGTACTATCCTGGATGAACTCTTTCACAAGGAGCTACTCTATTGCTACTACAATTTTGTAGCAATATAGACACGTGTTATAAGCGGTCGAAACCGGGGGACCAGTGCTATTGGATATTAATCGTTCCAGTGGTGGAGCCAATTTTCTTGCTGGTGTTTTAAAAGACGAATGTGGCCGATGTATTCACGCATGTGACGTTAACCATTGTCCCACCAAGCTCGAGTACACAGGGCACGTTTACCGTAGCTAAGATCAAATGGATAATGTCGTTGACATGTATGCGTCAGACGCTCAATGTTCAGGACAGATTGTGGTGGTCCAGTGCAGTTACATCGTAAATTCGTCCCGATGCATAATTTTATAAACATGTGTGTACAAAAAAACATATTTTGTAAATATTCACGTTTAGCTCAATAGAAAGCGGAAATAAAACTTAGGAATTCACGGGATACGTGGCTGTCCTCCGCTCACGGCTTTGTAACTCGTTGGTAGCGGTACAGCCCCGCGGACCAGCCCACGTGTATTTGTTACTCTTCCACCAGACGATACCTGCCCCGTGACGTTATCTGACAAGCGCACAAATACGTAGGTAGGCCCAATCAATTCATAATAGCACCTACGCAATTCCGTAGCACAAGTGAGTTTACATTTTAGGGTACAATTCCACCAAAATAACGGGTTTAGCGACCCCGCCCTCATTCGTTTCAAGGTCGATTCTCTTTACAACAGAAGTATGTTAGTTTAACTTGTAATATTCAGTTACAGCGTTGAGCGGTGTAACTGGCGCGTTATAAATAGAGGTTAGAGTCGAGTTATTTCGCCTGTTCTCGTGCGCAGAACAGACCGATCCATTATCTTACCGCAAGTAATAAAAACTGAAAAGAATTTAAATGCTTACTACACATGTGCCTGTATTTTAGGATTACCATCCACTTTACGTCGCTTTGCCATAATATTTAATGATTACCTACCGCTGTTCTCAATATCTTATTCATAGAACTTATACTTAGATATATACTTACAACTTATACATCTCTATTTTATCTAACTACGTGCATTATTATGATCCGTAAACGTAAGTGGAGCAGAGTACATTACCTAAGCTAATCACAAGCATACGTGGTAATAAAATATAGTTCATAATCTTTGTTCGCCATAATTATAACTTTTTTATTAAAAAAACGACCTCGAAAGTACGTGGTATTAGATCTATTTGCCAAGTTTTATTGAAAACAATTACCGGAAAGTGCGCAAAACCGTATTCATCCCGTAGTTTGCCATCCTTAGAGGTGGAATCTTTTTTTCAAATTTAAATGGGACCAATAACTGAGGTACTCTTTATCCAACAAAAAAGAATCATCAAAATCGTTTCACAAAGTAATCGCATAACAACACAAAAAATACTGTCGAATTGAGGACCTCCTCCTTTTTGAAGTCGATTAATAAGATGCTACATATTTCCTTTATATGCTACGATAATTCCATTTCACTGAATAAAGCGCCGCCCGTCACAGTATGAGCAAGTCAGTATGTTCATAATTAAAAATGCATGAAGAGTGGTAGTTTTCATGCTCGTTAGTGAATCCTGTTTACTTGTGTTTTCTTTTATATAAGTGCGGCTACTAAAAAGAAAAGAAGATTATGTATACGTATATAGATGATTTGCTGTACTTAAATGGTTTTTCACAGATAGTGACCGTTTTATTATGCCCAGGCATTTTTAGTACACAGCTGTGGATTATTGTTACTAAATATACAGAAACTCAGCTTCAATAACCAAATTTAGAAAGTGAACCTATTTTTTCGGATCTACGTCGGGTATGTTTATTTTTTTCGAACAAACGTTTTTCGGGCCTTTTACAGATGATGTGATATTTGTTATATTAATATAGTATCTACTTAACAACTTAATCGATGTCTACATTCATTTCCCCCCAGGAAAAAACGCCTTATTCATGAACGGCTTAATTACGTATTTATTAACTAGATTATACTTACACATTGTAAAATTACAGGCACGTGAGGCTAACCAACCTATGTGTCAGTATGACGGGCCGATTTAAAGCTCTGAGTGGTAGTGCAACTGTTATGGACAGGCGTCTAACTTACCATCAGGCGCACGACTTGCTCGTCCCGTTACTTGATATTATAAAAAAAATTAAATACTTATTTCGTTTGACTATTTTTCTAAAATGAAAACGCAAGGTAAAACCACTCAAGAAACACGTTAAGGTTCCCCTTATTCTTCTTCTTCTCATCGTATCGATGACTTGATGGTGAAAGGTTATTAAGGTAAGTACAAATTGTTGAAACATCGTAGAATCAGTAAGGGTTCTTGAATAAGTAATTTCGAATGCTTCCTTATTTACTGGGGTAAATAGTGCCTAACTTTACATTTACATACTGACGTAACACAATGTTTTATTCAGCTAACAAAACACGTAAAAATAGCTTTACTCTTTGTTACTTGTTAACCTCGCCATTTCCGCTTAGATTGTGTCCTTTGCCTTAGCCCACGTGTATTAAAGCTATAATAGTGGCGGCTAGTGGCCTATGAAATGTATAAAGGTTTACCTCACGCTAATTACCAATACATAATAACCATCTTTCTTTAGCCTCGTTAAACTTTATTAATAAGAACAAGTTTAAATACAGTTCGAGAATTCAGAATCAGAATCAGAACGGTACTTTTAACTGTACTATAATTTAAGCGAAGCTTATAAATGTGTAAATTATAAAATGTTCTAGGGTTTAAAATATAGAGATTGTTGGGCACGTACTTGTAGAGCCGTGTTTAATCTTCGCCGAATGTATATCATACCATCATTACGTGTTTAAGAAAGTTTATTGATTTGATATTGTTGTCGTCATTACAGTGGGAGTTCGTACGAGGGCCAATGGCAGAACGGAAAGAGGCACGGGCTGGGCGTTGAGACGCGCGACCGCTGGCTGTACCGCGGCGAGTGGACGCAGGGTTACAAGGGTCGCTATGGCGTGCGCCAGAGCACCACAAGCAACGCCAAGTACGAGGGCACCTGGGCCAACGGCCTCCAGGACGGATACGGCTCTGAAACTTACGCCGACGGCGGTCAGTATCCACAACTCCCTCCATTGCCAAATTATTGGAACTCAGACGAAAATACGTCGACATGGCCACGTACACCGCTCTCACAATGAATCGCTGTAAAAGAATGCAGTATTATTTTTATAAAAAGCTAGGGATTTTCGAAACTTTTGTTTTTAGTCAGTAGACTTTTAGTAGACAAATTTATATTCAAGAAGAAGTACGAGCTTCCAATCGTTTAAATGCCTCAGCTAGGTTTTCGGAGCGTTTCAAGGTTCACACTTAAAACGAACACGTTTTGTTTATTTCAATCAAAGTCAACATCACATTCTGAACATCAGGATAATGATTTGTGAGGGAGGTATAACGTAGTTATGCGCGATTTGTTTTACAATTCAGCTACCGATTCGGTACATGGTTTATATATTTTCGGTTTATTACGAGCAGCAATTGCTTCAATAATCTCAGTTTATAAAGTCGACCATTTGATGGCAAACACGTCTTCATTTTATGAATCTTTATTATAGTGTTCTTGGCGATTGTCACAATGTAGAGTTACACAAGAGCAGTTTTATTTCAGTTCTCTCACGAATGGTTATTGGAATTTTGATACAAATTCAAATTTCTATATAAAGGATCAAGGTCTAATCCTTTTTCAATCTCAAGACCGTTTTCACCTAATGACCTAAATTTTAGTTGCGTGAACTATAGAAAGGAAACCCTTGCTTGCGCAATGTTTGTTATAGAAAAATAAATGGCGTACTTACGCTATATGTACAAAAGTACACGCACAGTCACGAATGAAAGCATTAAAGTTTAGGTGCGTGGTTGAAAAAGGAACCACGGGCCTAGAATTTAATTATAACTCTCTTAGATCGAGAGTATTTCGTCTAAAGAGTAATTATTTCTATTATTTTTGTTTTAATTTCGTATCGTGCCAACTGACATTGTGTCTCGAGACCAATTAGGATTCATTCAGCCTTGAAACTCGAACAGAAAGCAAGTCTACGTAAAAACGTGACCGTGCATCAGCTCCTGTCATGAACAGGCCGGCACGCAAACCTCGCCGCGCGCGTTGACTCACCACCGTATTAAGATTCGTCATTCGCTAAATCATAAAATAATTGTGATGCGTTATTATTTCTTGGTTTGTTTCAAATAAAAGTTAGTCATACGTCATTTTTGTTCATCCGGCGCGCGTGGCGCACAAGTCACACTCACGAGGCGTTGCCCTAGTGCAGATCGGAATACGCCGTCCATTCATCCCACTCCCGCTTTACATGACCTACTTATACACATCGAAAGTATTGTGGAATGAATCAACATAATGTCGATCATCATTTACAGTTGGATAAAAACAAAACAAGGAAATGTTGAAAGTGTTACGTGTATTACAATTTATTAGACAAGCCGTAGATTGTATACAGTGAGAGAAGATGGAATTTTAATATACTCAAACCATACTCAAAAATACATTTATGAATAAGTGAGCAAGAGATCGGTCTTGTTCTTGATAGTAGAGTACGGAATGGATATAAATTTGAAAAGTTTTGTGTTGAGTAGTGCGGCGGGTCTGGCGGTGTGCGGCGGAGCGCTGTGGTCGGCAGTGGCGGCACTGCTGCACGCCCCGCGGCCGCGGCCCTCGCCAGATAAATATAGCTCCGGCACGCCCGCCGCGCTCACCAGCTCGACACACAATCACGTCGACCTCTCGTTAATTTTTCTACAAGAAATCAAACACTTTCCTACTCTACTAACGAGTATACACCCAAAATTCTTATAAATCACTTAAATGTCGTAGTAAAAATTTTTCTAAAGAGAAATCGTTTGTTAAAAATAAAAACTCCACCAATACCCTCACATTTAATATACCCAGGCAATATAATTGACCTAACGCTATCACAGATAGTATAAATATGTATGACGCAATACGCAATGAACTTTGGGTATAGTCGTGTATTTTGGGTTAGATTTCCATTATATTTCGCTTTTAAAATGCGGCCGTGTTTAATACGACAAAACTTATTCTGCTCTTATTCTGTACTTGCCTGTGTAAAGGTTATAAATTAACCTGCCAATTTAATTATCTACATAAATGTTTGAAATGGATCGATAAAACACACCAGTATCTGCCTTGTTCTTTCCCTTTCACGGTTTGTTAATCACGTTACGCCTTAGATACTCCTTAACGACTTTAATGAACAACGAAACGAAAATTAATAGTAGATAGGCTATTTTTATAGCAATGATACAGCGGTACGAAGTGACGTCACCGTCTTAGTAATACTTATACCTAGGTAGTTTAACTAGTATTAGTTCGCCTACGTGCGAAACACGTGGCTTAGCTAACGACTGCACGCGATAATAACTTATGTGAACAGGTGGATAGAGATAGAATTCGTAAGTCAGGCTGAGCTATTGCAATTGCAATAATTATGAATTATCTCTCTGTGCTATTTTATTAACATCGTTAAAAGCTGAATTTGGTTTAAAAAAATGTTTTATAGGAACGCATATCGGTTGTATTTCTGACACAGGCCTACTCTGTGTCACGGCTGCCATGGTCAGACAACCACAAATTACACCCAAATATTCATGAGAGAAATAAATGTAGGCCATGCAAATGTTTCTCTTGACCCGGGACTTCTGCGTGGCAGACCAGGATGGTAACAGTTCGGCCACCACTGAGGCAGTTGTGAAAGTACGTAATTTTATAACATGGCAAAAACAAAACTCTAGCCTTAGGGTCAGTGTTATAGACTGACCTAGAGGAGACTTACACACAGAAATGAGACATAGACATATGTAGGTATGGGTTGAAGCTGTATATTATGTACATTAGCTTTCTATGTACATTAGCACTTCCTACGTAACTATTGGTGCACTGAAGACGCTGTTTACATAGCAATGCGGCTTTTATTACATTTTTCTGTAACGGAAATTCTGAAAGATTTCTAATACAGTGCATATGAAGGTATAAAATTTGTTTTTACCACAGTCGTGGTACACGTGATAAGTCCCGAAATGTAAGCATCACCGTAAACTCAAATTTTAATGTCAGTTTTGAATTTAATTTCAGGAACATACCAAGGACAATGGATGCGAGGATTGCGGCACGGGTACGGCGTGCGCACGTCGGCGCCATTCGGGCTGGCGTCGCACTACCGGGGAGGGCACCGCGACCACCGGGGCTCGCAGTCCTCGCTGGCCGATGCGGACCCCTCCGAGCGGCGCAACAACCGCATCGATGACGCCCGCGGCGGGTTCGTCCTTAAGGCCAGCTCCGACGAACCCTCCGGCCGACGCGGCTCCCTCGTCGAAAAAACAAAAAGAGGACTGCTCTCTGTGAGTCAACCCGAAAACGCTCCGTGGCTTAGTGTGCGTGCCCTTCAAAACACCTTAACTACGAGAATACCACGCAAAATGAAATTAAAATTGCTTGTGAACTTAAACTTTGTTGCGCAAAAGTAAGCATAATTAAAAAGTTATGCGGTAAGTAATGGCTTTGAATTCCGGAGAGTCTGCCTACCACATTCTAGCCGAATTTTTCAGGATATAATACAAACCAACAAACTTTGCGTGGTACTCACGAAAAAGTGTGCAGGTATTAATTATCCTCATTTTCATATCTACTGCATGCCATGTGTTTTCTAGTGATCAATATACTAATTTTATTTTTTACTTTATTTACAAGCCGGTATCACATACCATATACTTAGAAGAATTAGTTAGAGAAAGGGTAAGTATTAGATTATTTAGTTTAATTACCGTGGGAGAAATTGTAATTGTTAATGCTTTACTTTATAATTGCTGTGACTACTAGTGAGTAGTGATTATAACGTATGGACCAATTTAATATTATAAAATATATGTTATTAAAAACACAAGATAGGAACACAACAACCTTAATCTTACTTATTGTATGAACTCTGAAAAAAAGCAAACTTAAATCAATGTGATTTTAATTTTCATTTCACTGTTTAACATTGAGTGATTGTTATTGTTTTCTGCTAAATAAAAAGTTCGTTTCTTTATCTTAAAAGACTTCATATATCCTGCCTATAAAAAAACGATAGTTGCTAAGCAATCGTTTGCAATTACAGAAGCTCCGGAAACAGCATAGTGCCGGCGAACTGGACAAACGCGGTACGGCGTCGGTGCGGTCGGGTGGCTCCGGCGGTTCCGGATCCTCGTGGGTCTCCTCGGTAGAGAGCTCCCACTCGGCCATGACCCATGCCTCTCTCCATACTAACTCTAATGCTAGTTTCGTTGTCGAGGTCAGTATATTTAACACAGCGCCACAAACCACTAATGTTACGGTTTTTTCTAAAATTTAATGTACTTCAGAAAACATCGGAAACAACTGATATTTAATAACAGTATGATCTCTGAATGTCATAAACGGATTCTGAAGAAGAGATTAAACATTCATTTTATTAACTCTTTTGGAATTATGAGCTATAATTCTAGTGTCGGCGGACTAAAGCACATAGGTAAATTGGTGCTTCATATGTTAATATATAATTATATATTTTTTTGTGTTATTTATAGTGTTGGAAGATGTGAAGAATTTAAAAAGACGACTCTAGAATTAAAGTAACAAATTAATGAAGTAATAAATTAATTTGACTTACTATGTGCTTTAGATGGTAGATGTATTAATTTAAATCGATGAGGTTGGATTTTGACTTATGTGCTTTAGTTCGCCGACCCTTTAAGTTTGAGGTGTCAGTTCCTATAGTAACCTAACTAAAAACGTAAAATGTAAACCAGTAACAACAAATCATGACATGAAATCGAACGGTTTTGGCACCGAATTTCAAACTATTGCTGTTTAACTGACGATATATTTAATTTTAACTTTACAGGATGAACATCTGGACGCAGGCGTCACAGAAACCTATATGGGTGAATGGAAGAACGACAAACGCACCGGCTTCGGTGTGAGTGAACGTAGCGACGGGCTTCGATATGAGGGCGAGTGGTTTGCGAATAGAAAATACGGATATGGCGTAACCACATTTCGGGACGGAACGAAAGAAGAGGGCAAATACAAGAACAACGTGCTCATCACCAGTCAGAAGAGAAAACACATGTTCCTAATGCGTTCCGCAAAGTTCCGAGAACGCGTCGATTCAGCGGTGAATGCGGCACAACGCGCATCCAAAATAGCATTACAAAAGGCAGACATAGCCATTTCAAGGTTTGTAGCTCATTTGATGTACTTTCAACATACGTACACTTGCAAAGACGTATTGTATTTGTATGTATTTGTATACATTTGATTACTAATTTATTGGCTGATAGGTATACCAATACTTACACAATTTTCGAGATTTTGTCATTGATATAAATTTAGTTTTACAACAGACAATATAAAAAATATTATTTACAACAATTTTTGTAAATAAAAAAATACTATTACAGCCTTTCCTGTTTCAGGACTGCCACAGCCCGAGGTAAAGCCGAACAAGCCGACGAGTCGGCGGACCAAGCTAAAGAAGACTGTGATATAGCGCTAACGACTGCAAAGCAGTTTGCCCCAGATTTTAAGCATCCCGGCCTTGACCGTATAGGATTAAGAGAGAAATATAGACAAAAACCTTACGAAGCGCAGGCTACAGTGCCAGCAGCACAAGAATCTGAAAAGATCTTGGACGGAAAGAGCATTCCAAATCATATCCCTCCGATGCATTCATCGCTCCCTCAAGCGAACAAAATCCCCAATGCAATGACATCTCGAAGACCATCTACGCAATATCCAAAGACAGTGCAATCTGTAGATCCCAGACTAGCTAACAGTTCTAATTATAATACAGACGAAAGAAATCTTGGTCCAACCTATGACCCTTATTACAATCCTAGTCAAGACTCATGGGCATCGATGAATGCGCAACCTCAAGTTTTGGAAGCTCAAAAACCTTACTCACCCACAGAACAAATGAACGTGTATGGTCCAGGACCACCTGGAGGCCCACAACAACCGCCTGGAGCTTACCCAATTAATAGACAGAACGCCATGCAGTATCAACAAAGTATGGATCAGAGTAGTCAACAATACTTAAATCAGAGTAGAAGGCTTTCTGGAGCTATCAGATCACAGCCGAATCAACAAGTAGCACCGTCTCAAGATTGGAACCCTCCTCAGCGACGACAAAGTGTATTAGCGCAACCACAACATGAAACTCATCAGAACACTTATGTGGACGGTGGTACTGCTGCGTATGGAAGAAACGAATTCCGCACCGGAACTGTAGCTTCTGAGGGTCCTATGATGACCGACCCATATCGTCAGAATGTAGACCCTCAAGCTTACCGCCAGCCCATGCATCCTCAAAGTTACCGACAAGGGCCTGAACAGCAAATGTACAGTCAAGTGCCTCCCGATAGCCAAGCGTACCGCCAGCAGTCCGCTGTAACTCATGAACAAGACATAAATGGGGCACGAACAGTAGGTCCCCGAGCTACTTCTATTGATTACTTTGATCATTATAAAAGACCTCCTAGCAGAGATGGCAGTGTGGATCGATTTGGGCGGCGTTCCAGACAGCCGTCAGTCGAAGCAACAGCACCAAGTGGTGGTTCTCGTGCGGGCTCAGTCGCACCGCAACCTCAGATGCCGTCATCGCGGCCTACGTCGCGAGCAGCGACACCTGCTGGCAATGGACATTTAGCTTCAGGACGTGGTTCTATATCTCGTGCTAGCTCACGAGATCATCAGCCTTTCGAAGAATCGCTACTACGAAAGAGAAATTTAGGACAAGACATTTCTCCATCGCCGTACCAGCCCAAACGGACGGAGAGTCTGTTCGTAGCGCAAAACGCGGCGCCACCAGTCCCGGCACCTATGGGCGGTGGTGGCGGAGGAGGGGGTGGCCGTAAGGTAAGTCTATTATTAAATTTACGTCAATAAATTGCAACAATCTAGTCATACGCCAGATATCAAATAATAGTTTTTACTAACAAAGAGACATTTGATTCCAATGATATTATAACTAGGATTGAATCAAATTCAATCCCATTACTTTCGTTGACTTTGTTCATTTATAACTAACACCAATAATGCTATTGGAACAGATACTACGTTGTTAATATTGAAACAGCAATAATTGCAATGTTTATTTTCAAATTATAAGGCAAAAATAAACGAAACCAAATATTTATTTTCTGTTACCCTGTAGGCTACGAATATGCTACGGCGTAGCATTTATGAACATAGAGATTAGAGGTTCTTTAACAACAGACGGTTTTCCCAATAATAATTATTCTCACTACTGACCAATCAATTATAATACATAAAGCGCTGCAAACAAAACATCTATTTTGGTGAGATGTAGATACCTTTTCAATGGACCTCAAGGGGTATTCGAGTAAAAAACTTCAACGCGAACACTCAGACGTTCGAGAAACTTATTTGTGATAATAATTTTCGTAATAAATTTTGAAACTTATATGTATAGTAAGAGTATTTATAGTTGTTCTTTGTTGGAAAAACAGCCTAAAAAGAATAAAAATACTTCGAAATTAAGTACTTAGTACACATCTATTACATTTTAATCGCCAAAGACAATATTATATTGACTCTAAGAATATAATGTTAAAGCACTACTATTAGCATTACTACGTTCCAATTTTGAAGGATAAGGGTGCTGGTGAAATTACAGGCACATGGGACTTGTCAACTTATGTCTCAGGATGACCGGCCCAGTGGCATTGCTCCTCAGATCTTTGCAATTTAAAGCTCTGAGTGGGACTGCAACTTTACGGGACAAGCGTGTATCTTACCATCAGACGTACGACTTGGTCATCCCGTCACTTGATATTATGAAAAAATAAAATAAAATAAAATATAACGTATCCAACTCCATCTGAGAATGCAGCATTTCATTCAACAATCATTTAATGTATGTGGATATGTAGTATACGTACAGTGCGGCGGTATAAGGCCAGTTAGCTTAGTGGCTGACAGTCGCGAAGTGAACTTAAGCTTGTTTATAACAACCGGGTGTAGTAGAACCATCACTAATCGTAACACAGTCATGCTGGTATGGGCGAGCGTTCCCGATCCCGCGCTCGGCTATACAGGGTGTCCGGTAATCAATGTATCATACTGAAATGGCTTATAGCACAGCTTAAGACTGTTCCAAAAAAATGCAAAAAAAAATCTGTCCCATGTAGTACCTAAGGAATGTTTTTTTTTTCTTAAAAGTTAATTATTTTTATCTTATTTTAGGTTTTTGTGCACTATGAGTACAAATGAATGAATATTTGGTTTTTTGGTGTCATAATATTCTGCGTTAACTGTGTCCTTAGATAAGCAGTAAATGGTATGACTAAGTAATGTAAATTTTTTTTTTAAAGTTTAACTTCATTTTTCAGAGAAACAATTTATTTTTTACGAAGTTTACGCGCCTTCTGTATAAAAAAAAAGTAAGAAAACCTGTGTGGCCAAGTACTCTAAAATAATGTAGGTTTAATGAGGATTTCAAAATACTATCATTTCTCATTGTATCTAATATAAATATGAAATTATTGCTATTAATGTCCAAACGGAGTAAATTGTACTAAAAAATTATGTTTGCAAAATTGGACCGTTTCTTGTCTTGAATTGTACCCGACCAATGGGGTTTAATAAAAAAAACATTATTAAACATAAATAAAACTTTATTTCTAATGTTTACAGTAAATGTTCAAATTGTTTGCCACCGGCTCATGCAGGCTCTACATCGACGAATAAAAGCTCTATTAAGCAGCCATGTATAGCGTCGTTCACAAATTTTTAATGCGGCCGCACGGACGCGTCTACGTAAGTCTTCCAAGGATCGGATCGGTTTGCTGTACACTTCTTCTTTAAGGCAGCCCCAATAAAAAAATCCAGTGGATTTAGATCCGGTGAACGCGGAGGCCCTAAACTTGGCCCCAGACGACCAATCCACCTATTTGGGTATGTCGCATTTAAATATGCACGAACAGAAACAGCATAGTGCGCAGGACAGCCGTCATTTTGGAACCAATGGAATTCCCTCAGCTCTTCAGGCACGTCTTCCATTAAATTAGGCAGATCATTTTGTAGGAACTCCAAATAACTTTGGCCAGTAAGAGTCTCCGGTAGTTCAAATGGTCCTATTATTTTTCCATTTAATATTCCCGTCCAATAATTTATTTTAAATTGGTGCTGTGATCGGTCTTCCCGCATAAGATGGGGGTTTTGCAGTTGCCAGCTATGAATGCCACCAACACCACTACCAGGCATTCTTCCTTCTGAGTAACATTGGTGGACTCTTATAAATACGGCATTAGATGGGTGACGTGCGTTAGGGTATCTTTCTCTATAAAGAGCTTCAGCTGCTCTTGAGCTGGTACCGCATTCCCCATAAATAATATGCATGTTTGCATATTCTTGTGGCGAATACTGAGTACGTGGCATTTTTATTCACAGACACAAAATACCTGTTCAGTCCAGAAACAAGCCAAGTCGTCGCAAATATCACCAAACAAACAAAGTCCAAATCAGTAAGCAAAACTATAATCCAGTAAAATAGCCAGTTCGTAGTTCAACACTGATTGAAAGCAAATCGTAAAGGAACAGGAAACACGTGCAAAACCGAACAAATCGAATGATGCACTAAATCCTTTTCGTTTTTTTTTACATTTGCTGTTAATTCTCACTCTTTGCGTCTGGTCCAACTCTGACCATTCTTATCATATGAACAAAAGACAGGCGGTGGCTATCGTGCAGGTGGCAAATAACGTGGTACTTTAAAGACAACAATTGAAAAATTACTTTGATTGGATTTTTGCATAATTTTGCTGTAAATAAGTTTTAAATAAAGTTTTATTAATGCCTAATATTATTTTTTATCAAAACTCAATAGTCAAGAACAATTATTCAGGATAAGAAATGTTCCAATTTTGCAAACATGGTTTTTTAGTAAAATTTACTCCGTTTGCACATTAATAGCAATAATTTCATATTTACATTATATACAATGAGAAATGATATTTTGTAATCCTCATTGAACTTTATTTAAATTTTTAATTTTTAATTTTTTTTTAAATTATATTATTTTGAAGTACTTGGCCAC